CGCTTGAATATTCAGCCGTAAACTGACTGGTTTCATCAAATAAATGCATCGTATGCGCTGGATTCTTCCATCACCGTTCTTTCTAAAATGGGTGATTAGATTTGACCTAAACGCTTCTTTATCTACTTCTAGGATTCTTTTACCATACCAATACCGGTAAAAACTCCTTCTCGCTGTTCATTGCGAAACGTATTTTGATTTAATTGTCCATGCTGATGGAATAAAATGAGATTTGATAAAATCTGTTCAAAAGCCAATGCACTCAGCTTTCTTTTTATTTCTGTATTCTGCTGGAATTAACTCCTTAGGCGGCCGCGCACTTGCAAATAGATCCGATGAGCCTCCAGTAGCTGGTAGACATTGTTCCGGACTCATTTATGCAGAAGTAGCATCTCATATTTTCACCGTCTAATTGTTACGAATTCTTATTTTGCTAAGTTGGTTTATGTGAAGGTAACATTCAGTCTACAACAGCGTTGTCACTAACCCTTTCATCATTTGCTGGATAACATTAAGCAACTGTCGAAGCGCCACCAACATTTGAACACGGTAGCCAGTGCATTATGCACTGCTGTCGAGATGTTGCAAACCACCAGCCAAAAACGTCCGCATCGACCCAATCTGAACTTACCGGTGTCGAAATCGACGAGGGTCATTGACATATTTCAAGGACACATGCACCGATATGCGTCCTCACGTCGTATTCACACCCCAGACATGCGTGGGTGAGTAAATACAGTAGACTTACATGCCATTGGTGGGTCGGAAAATTAGTGCGTTCCAATCTACCTTTGACCAGCGCGGCGACTGAGCAATAACGAAAGACTCTTCTCAAACGTACGGTACTCCCCTAGAATGAGAGTTTTTCAGGTTAATGCCTCTGTTCTTCGACGACGTTGTACAGGTGTAATAAGGTCAGCAGTTATGCTGAGTTGCTACCGAACCTTATGAAGCTTTTATGGTGCCTTCAACGCCTTGCATTCGGATGCAGGTTTGGTTTAGTAAGCACATTTTAGTGGTACTGCTGAATCGATGGAGAAACCAATTATACTATAAAACAGGTCTATCGCCTATTGAGGACATGAAAGGAGAGAAAAATAGAAAGAGAGCGAGATAGAGAGTTATTCCATTTCATCGAATAATCAGGTTCTTGAATAAGTTCCAGTTGATGTAACTGAACAGACGATAATGCATTGTGTTCTGTACATCGGCCATGCGTAGTCTCAGTGGCATTGGATCACGTGATCATCGCTCCCCGGCAATTCATCAAGTATGTGAACACTGACCGCAGGGATGCCCAGTGAGAAAATGAGGTCCATAGTACTTTCTCCTCTGGTAGGTTGGGAGATGTGTTGCTGCCAGTCATTCATTTGGATACAGGAGAAAAGGTTTTGGCATTTTAAAGGAGCGGCCCCCATGGACCATGAAATGGAAGACAGATTGAAACTACAGTAATCTTATGTACGAACGATAGGCTAGTGGCGCGTTTAAATGTAAGCGCCAAAATTTACAGTTTTACGATGGAGTGACCCATATGTGCGTCTGCTAGTAATCGGATAGGCCGCCCCATCTCGCGGTTGTGAAGGCACGTGGACCAGGGCTTGGTATGGTCTGCGTCGTAGGAGGAGCTCCGGTCCCATTGAGTTGCAAGCTAAAAACTCTCAGGTGTTTTCTAATACTCTCCTCAGATCCAGCATGGAAGTACTGATGTAGGCGATTGGCTAGGTTGTTGTGAGAACTGACATTCAACCTGTGAGCACAGCATTATTAAGGAGGGTCGCACCCACCAGGTCCTCCCAGTTAGACGGGCGAACGGGCAAACGTCTCATGTATTCTGCACTGTATTCGGTGGGGTGGCGAATTCTATGATGTTATGCAAAACCTCCTTGTGCCATAAACGTCCTTCTACTTGCGAGACATTTAAATAACTGCTCGTTATATTCTAATGCTTCCGCCATGAATCCAGTCAGCTTTCGCTGGTATGCTCATT